TTCTATGATTCTATGAAATGGCAGGATGAGGACGAGATCAGCACTGAAGCCAGTGCAAGAAGGGATCACAACAGAACGCAGCCACACTTTAAATGCTATTCAATTAATTTCTGAATTAGTTAATATTAAAAGGAAGTGAAGAAGGAAGCGATTTTAAATGTTTATATTTACTTTTTTTCTGTGGAATCACAGAAAACCTGATTGCCTTTGAAAGTATCTTAAACTGCTTTAAATGGCCTACACACCAATCTTTACATTATGCCTGCTGACTTGAAACTGAAGCATGGCAGCATGGACAGTACTTGCATACTTACACTTCTGTGTTAGGACATAACACCATAACTGGGTTCCTGTATCACCATGCCATTGTTTTTCTTCTCTCTTCAGTACTTATTACAGTAATCTCTTATCCCCTCCTGTGTCATCTAACCCTGGTTCATCCTTGTCAACGTTTCCTGAGACCTCTTAATTGCTCAGGAAAGCAAGGGCTAATTGGGCACCCAGAGGTGACTTACAGAATAATAAGCTACATATTTTATTTCTATTCGTAAAAAAAACAAAACAAACAGAAGAGTCAACAAGTTTTACTGTTTAACTTGTCTCCAAGGAAGTGTATGCAAGCAACCATTCATGTGAAAGCTCAGTGAATAATAAAGGTTTCTTACCCTCTGGAGACCACAGTGACTTGATTATTTATTGACTGCCTTCTAAGTGCCTGTTGCAATGCAGTTTATAATATTTAAAGACATTAAATATTAAACAAAAAGCAAAAGAATGGGGTTTTCTGAAGGTCATAAAACTTGGAAGTCAAACACTTAAAATGTTACCACAAGGACCAATTCCTGAGGTGTTCACCCAACTGACAAAATTAAAGTAAAACTAAGGACCCTTGACTTTGGCTTTCATCATTTATATTGTTCAGATTTTTGATTCCTATTAAAATAAACTTAGCCTTTTCCCACTCTATTAGTTAAGGTAGAAATAAAACTAGGAGGAAAAGCCACATTTATTAATACCAGTTCTACAAATAATCAGTATGGAATGTAAGTCTCCACCAGACTGAATACACTGGTACCATTCATATTCATAGGGGTCCCAGGATCACACATATCCTGTAATCTAATTTCCATGAGAGTTTTAATTATAAACATGCTTTTTTTCCCACTGAAATATAAAATATTTGATATTTACTTAAGTTTATATAAATATGAAAATACTACAAACAGAGCCAAAACAGTATTAGTATTTGGTAAAATCTCTCATGCTCTTAAAAGAATTTTATCTTCTAAGCAAATAGACTTTTATTAAGTATATAAACATATTTTGGGATTAAACCCTCCTGTTTACTCTGAAGCTTTGCTGAATTTCCTTTAATCAAACCAACTTAAATTGAATCTTATTTGTGTTTTCTATAGATTGAATGGGAGAACATGTGACTATGGCATTCTGATACCACAGCTCCTTAGGGCATTTCTGTAATTTCAGGCTGGATTGTCTAACCTAACACAGGAATGTATCTACACTATAGAAAATTTAGGACCAAATCAGTTTATCTGTTGCCATAAAGCCCTCATTTCTATTTTCTTTCTTTCAACCTGACAAAATTTATCCTCCCTTTTACTATTTGTTCTTAAGTAGAAAAAAATTTTAATGCAGGATTAATGCAAGTTTGATTCACCTCTCCTGAAAAAGAGGAAAACCCCAGAGCCTTGACCTTCCTCCCCTGGGAAGTCTGACAAAGAGGTTCTTAGGGCACTTTCTGAAAACACAAGCCTGCTGCAGCAAAGGAGAGACAAAGCTGAGAGCCCAGAGCTCACTTCTGACAACACCCTGGTCTCTCTGTTTTCTGGACACCTAGGAACTAGGGTCCTTACATCATCACAATTAACTCTCAGTAGGTAGATCAATGAAAAGACAGAAGACCTGACATCTGACCTGAACCATATCTTCTGGAAGCAGCAATTCCCTCAGGGCAGCCCCTCCTGTGCAGTGACACACAATTAATGACTGTACAGTGCTGGCTCTGGTAAAATAGGGCTTGGAGGCCTTGGCTATCTGTGACTCACATTCACAGAAAAATTCAATTTTAGGGTGTCCAGAAACTTGTAAATTACTTGTAAATCCTGGTCAGATTAATGGAATAAAAAGCATGTTTAAGGGTCAAGACAAATTGTTTAGGGATTTGGGGTGGCACAGGTGGTTGGGTTTGAGTGGTTTTTTTTGCATTTGTAATAGAAGCAATAAATGAAGCACTGGTTTAAAACACTTTACAGACCACTACAGAACTTCTTAACCTGCAAGTTCTGTATTCAGAGTGTCCAGTATAGACTGAAAGGGAAATGAATGCTCCTCTGACTGAAGAGACCTGAATCTATGCCTTTCACAAGACACACCAGGCTACTGCATGCTCCACTCTCTCCTGTTGGAAGCCTTCCACTTTTTCCAAAATCCCATGTTTTTTGACACAGTGAGAGAGCTCGAAGGATGCTCTAGCTTGGTGGTTTGATCACTCATCAGAACTTCAAAAAATATTCTGAAACCACAATACTTCATCTATGGTTAAAAAAAAAAGTTCATTCACTTTAAAAAATAGCGACTATTTTTTTTACCTTATTGCCTATTTTCAACCTGTTAATTGAAACATCAATAATACAGCATTATCTTAAAATACACTGCTGAAACTTTGGCTTGTAGTCCCAAAGAGGCACAGAGGAAGGAATGACTGAGTAACCACAGCAGTAATTACTGCAACAGTCATCTTCACATTCTCTATTCTGTTTGTGATTATCCAAGAATATTGACGTGTTTTCCAAAATTATTAACACATTTCTTTTTTACCAATTACTAATCAAATATATAGGCTGTTACTCAAGACCTAAGAATTCACTAGTCTCTCAATACCCTTATGATATAAAGGAATAGTGCTTTCATTTTACTGAGGGAAATTTGAACTATGAAGAGGATAAGTGACTTGTTCCAGATGAACTTCATGAAGCAGTGTTTGAATCAAGAATACAGTGCAGGTCAGATCTCTAAATACAGCTGATTAATTGTGCAGTGGGATTTGTGGGCAGAAAAATGTGAAAGGCACTCCTTTCTGGCTCTCATTACAATGAACCCATCCCCTGAAGCAGGAAAAGGTACTTAGCATACTTAATTGGCAGGAGGCATAACTACTAATATTCTTTGAATGATAAAAAGTAGAACAGTAATTCTCATCATTATATGGAATAAAAATAAATCAATCTGTAAGCATCTTGTGATTAAAGCTGGGTTGTCTATAGGTAGCATTCAATAGCACAGGCTCTACCTAGAGTTATACTGCAGAAGACTGCCTGAGGGACAATGTACCGTGGACTCCAAACTTCTCTCCCCTTCATCCCACCTTATCCCCCCATTCTCCTTCTTCTGGAAAGTCTAAAATTTCAGTAAGGTTTCCGAGCATGTCTGAAAGCTACTACAGTTCATAAAGGGTCTTGCAAAAACAAGAAATGTCACACTCCACCTGTTACACACCATTCATCTCATCTGAGCATGTGTGCATCGACAAGTGGAATGGCAAGTAAATGCTGTCCACCCATCATTAAAGTCATTTTGCTAAAAAAGTGAACCCAATGATGCCCAGGGCTTCCCAGGCTGAGGGATGCAAACAACACATTTGACAAGGGAGCTTCCTGTTTAATGTGAGCATCACTGTTGTACACGGGCAGCAAACTCAAGAGGCAGATGATCCCTCCAACAAACAGACCACACTTCTTTGTCATGATGCTGCACTGCAAAAGGGCAGACAGGTATTTGCTACATCCAAATTTACTCTTCCCTGCTGCTGCACAGGAAGAAGGTTTCCCTGTACTATTCATTACAATTACCATTCCAAAAGGAGGGGAGATTGGCAACTGCAAGAACACAAACTAGGATTTGATGCCCACCTGCCGCACTGTTCTCAGGCACACTTGCTTCATACAGGCTATGGCTGAATGAAATCTCCTCCTCTTGTTCTTCTGTGAAGATCATGACCGTAGCTGTGGCTGTTCGAGGTGAGATACCCTGATCTGAAGCCATCACTAGCAGCTGGGTACTGAAGCCCTTGGAAGCCAAGGGCTCCTGAAGAATGATGTCACCCGTCTGCGCATCGATCTGAAACACAGTTTCTGCTGTCATCAGACTAAAAACAACGGCTCCATTTGCTCCCAGATCCACATCCTCTGCTCTCACAGTGGCTACTGTCTCATTCACAAGGGTTTCAGCAGACACAAAGGCCCTGATAGGATTCTGAAAAAAAACTGGATCATTGTCATTGACATCATCAACGTGCACCACAACGCTGACAGTGGTGCTTCTTGGCAAATGGGTGCTACAGTCACTAGCCACAGCCCTGAATGTATATTGGGATTTAGTCTCCCTGTCCAGCACCTGTGCAGTAACTATGGACCCCGTTACACTGTCGACAGCAAATGCTCCAGAAGTGTCGCCAAGGAGGGAGTACGTAACTTCACCATTCAGGCCATCATCTTCATCAGAAGCAAAGAGGTCCACGATAGCTGAGCCTTCCTCTAGGTCTTCGCTCACGGAGATCTGATAACTGTTATTTGCAAACAATGGGCTGTGGTCATTTTCATCCAAGACTGTTAGATAAAGCTGTGCAGTGGAGCTTCTTGAGGGACTGCCTAGGTCATGGCACTCAATTACAAGGGTGAAATTGCTGATGTCTTCTCTGTCTAAGCTACGAGTGACCAGCAGTTTGCCCGAAGTGTTATTTAGTGTGAAGTATTCTCCATCATTTCCACCTTTCAAACACATAAAAAATGAAATGATTACAAACAATTGCTTCAGAGAAAAGAGCTCCTTGTGGATACCACTACGTTAATTGCAATAACATGATCTGATTGCTCGTACAGCTGGTGTGCTCATGTGTCTTTCACAGATTTTATTCCTCTTATGAGAATTAAAATCTGCATTTCATTTAAATCAGTGGGTGGCAATGACAGTAAATACAGAATGTCATATAAGTTTACAGAGTTGCAATTTTGTCAGATGCATGTCTTTTTTCCCCAAAACAGCACACCTTATAAAATCTCCTGCAACTATAATGCTGCATAAAGTGACTTCTTCCCAACCTCAGTTACAAACTCCAAAAACCTATAAAAGCATTGCTGACAATTGCAATTACTTGCTCCTTGTTCTATTCTACAAACCTGTCTCTTGAAAGTGGATAGTTGTGCAAGGTCTTGATTTGAGGGGCATGAGGAGGGGGAGGTAAATATGAAGCAGTCAACAGAAAAGTCAGTGTTTTTGGTAAAAATGAATGGCATACATACTTTATAACATGTAGAAAGACCAAAGGTGATTAAAGATCATAAAAGATTGTGAAAATAAAACCAAGAAAACATACAGGAATTCATCACTTTCTTCAAAGAAAAATGTGCTGGCTGTTACCACAGTAGCTATCTGCCATTTGAGCTATTGCTGAGAGCCACAAACCAAAGTAATCACAGCAAAATTGTATTTGTGCAAAGATATTACAGGAGGCTTTGAACAGCTGAGGAGCTTACACTGGCATAGTGGAAATGGAGAGAGTTTGGCAATATTAAAACCAAGTATGACATTAGTAATTGCTGGGTGAAAGAAGCTCTCATGAAATAAAATAAATTAAATTAGATTAATTCTTGTACTTATTTGCAATGGTATATTTACATTCAGAATTTCCACAACTATAACAAAAAGGATAAAATTCTGCCTTTGTGATTAATGCCTCCTTCCAGAATTTGTCTTTTCTTTTTCTGCACTATTTCAGATCCAGAAAACAGACTGAAAGTATGCCTGGAAAGTGCTTATTAATGCTGACAAAGGGGTGAAGGATTTTTTTTTTCCCTGCATGAAAAGCATGTGGACAAGATGGGAGCTAGGGAGGCCTGGTAAAATCAAGACTAGTCTAAAACTTGGATACTGCTATTTATATACTTCCTGATTTGTATTAACAACAATGATAGTGAAACTTACCAATTATTTTGTATCTTAAAGCTCCGTTATTGTCAGCATCCATATCTACAGCTCGGCTAATGTGAACCACAGAAGGCTCCTGGTTCTCTGGAATATGGATCTCAGAGGTGGGAAGAAGAAACATGGGAGAGTGATCATTTTCATCCAGCACTGTGCAGATAACTGTCACCGTGCTCGACAGCAACGGACTTCCACTATCTTGAACCAAAACTAAGATTAACAAAAAAGAAAACAAATTTTATACAATGGTTGGGGGTGCAACTATAAATGTTCCTTAATAAGAAGCAGAATAGGAGAGTTATTTGTGCTATGCAAAAAAGCACATGCTTTTCTGTACCTGAAAACCTTACCACTTTGATCTAATTCAGATGTCATAAAAAAAAGTAATGCTGATAATGACATCAGATCCATTCTCACTTCCCATTTTATAGGCACACAATAGCTATTTCACACAGTTACCTTTAATACTGAAAACCTCCTGCGTTTCCCTGTCCAGTGATGCAGCTGTCACAAGTACTCCACTGTCCGAGTCCATCTTGAATTTCTCATAACCAGTTCCTGGTAAGATTTCATACTGAAGCAAGGAATTCAGTCCTTAAAAGCAGAATGGAAGTCTTAGTAAGACACAGCCACTGTCCTCACAGTCAGGTCAGACTTGTTTCTTTCTTCTCCCCCTCCCCAAGAAACAGGCTATGGATGAAATTATTTTTAACGCAGTGAGTAATTGCTTCTTCATTATCACAAAAGATACACATTTTAAAATTTGGATCTTCAAAATTCTTATCCAGATGTTGCTTTGTGCATAAGTTTTCTAGCCACTCAAATTGACCCCAGTAACTTTGCTAGGCACTCAGCCTCCAAACAAGCTGACATATCGACATGGTGCAAGATAGCATTAACCTAGACCATGGAATCCATGAGTTTCTCTTCTGCTCTCCACAAGGCAGTTAGTTTATTTATCAACAGGATGTCAGGCAGAGCATTGCACTGCTCTGGCAGCTCTGCCTCTCCACTTCACTTGGAGCTAATGCAAGTATCTTTATAAAGTACACTGAACAATATAAACATTCAGAGAAGACATTCACTTCTTGGCATCCCCGCCAGTTCCAAATATTCATAATACTGAGCAGGAGGGTGCCTAAGTCCTATCAGGACTCACAAGGTAGCCAGCTCCTAGTTGTCTTGAATGGAAAAGCCAATTTGGTGAACATTCCCACAGTGTATCTTAGGCCTTGTAGATTGCTCCCATCTGTAGCCACTCTCTGAAATGATGCTGCTTGCTTTTGTAAAGTCCTGCAGGATTTCCAGATGGAAGGTTAGAGAGTTTCCTGCTCTCCAAGTTTTTATGAATGTCAATTCCATTCAGTTGCTAATCAGACCTTCCTGTCTTTCTCTAGGAAATAGGCTAAAACTGTACAGGCTTTTGAACACTTTTTGTTCGAAGTTGCCCACCTGAAAAGAACAAGAAACATGACTCTAAATTCTTATCTATTATGGTTATAAAAGAATTTCTTTCATATTTCTTCTATTTTCACACCCTCCTGAGGAATAAAAGAATTTCTTTCATATTTCTTCTATTTTCACACCCTCCTGAGGAAAGTATAATGTCATCTCCATCACACCTATTTTATTAACTTTAATTAATTTAACCCTACATTATACTTGAAAGGCTTGTACTAATGTGCTCTTTTAAAAAAAATAAATAAATCTGTGTTTCATTCAATCATTCTGTGTTTTTCCTACCAATCATCAGCATTTTAGTAAGATGGGGACAGTTGGTGCACCTGGAAAACTACAGCACTCAAGTCATATGCAAACTGCTGTTCAGAGTCAAACACTGCCTGCCTGTTCCTGTATGCTGCACTTGACAATAGGACAATCTGCACTGGGGTTGATGGAGAAGGATCAGTGTGAGAGAAGAAACAGAGCCTATAGTTTTTTAAAGCTTTGAATAGCTTTGCTAAGTAGTTGACAACGCTACTGAAATTTTATTAAGAGAATTATTACTCTAAGGTGTACTCTAAGGTGTAACAATTATTACACCTAAACTAAGTTAAGGGAGGGGCATATTCATGCAATACACAGCAGAAGAAAAAATGAGTTGCAGAAAACCTTCCAGCTTTCCAGAAGAAAACAGAAAAATCACAGCAGCAAGGGCAACTGAGGAGAATGTCTTGAAAGTTTAAGGTTACCAACACACACTGTCTGATCTGCCCATATTAGATACCATTGAACTACATTTAGAACAATATTCACAATTCCTCCTGCATTTATCTATCCTTAACTCCCAGTATGCTACAGGTGGAGAAAAGGACACATTACACTGCAGGGCTGATATTAACTATTAGCCATTGGCCTCCTGTAATTGAACTGCTTCAACCCAGTGCCTTTACTGGCAGATTTCACAACAGACATTATGAACAGACAGTGCCGAAAAAACATACAGATGCCATCCAAGATAACTATTCACACACTGTTATAATTAAAACTTTTAACCTTTAAAGGACACAGATATGTGATCCTTTGATAACATTTATTTATCATGCAGTTACTGCCTCCTTTCTCATATTTAGCTGCTAGAATTGCACAGCTGGCTGTAGGAGAAAGCTGCACATCCTGCCCAGGAGAGGATCACGAAGACTCTGTGCACTCACATACCATGGCACAGCAGCTGACACACCTGCACTAGATTCAACCTGTTGGGTAATTATTCAGTAGTGCTAGTCACATTTTGGGGACTGAAATTACAAACTGAAATGAGAAAAACTATTCTTCTGTGCATTATGAGCTGGAAAAGGAGCTAAGCCCCTAGGCAAGGATCCCCTTTCCCTGCAGGGTTGACACATGGTGCCTGAGCTGCAGCCAAGGAAAAGCTTCAGCCCATGTTCCCGTTCTCCCGTCACAGCACAAGCAGCCCCTCTGCTCTCACAGCTTCTCAGAAGCAGCAGCCGTGGCATTACACTGTGTATACATACAACTAGTGGCAACTCTGGTGAAGAAACAATGGGAACAAATGTTACCATGGCCCCAAATCTAGGTTCAAGTCTCATCTTTATAATACTGATATTGTTAAGACTGTGATAATCCATGAACATGAGCAAGACAAAATGTCTAGTGAATGACAGCAAGCTCTGTCTCATAACAAGAAGTCCTCAGTCCCTGTTAACCTTCTGAGACTTTTATTCCAAGGCTCCAGACAACTACAGAACCACAGAGGTGCACATCAGCTTAAAAGCATACCTTGACAAATGCTAGTTCAGTTCATTCAGACCTTCTGCAAAGTCATGTCTCAAGACAACCCTCTAGCCTATCTTAAATAAGCTGAAAGTATCTTTCTCTCCCATGCATTTTTTTTCCAGCATTTACCTGTATTACATGTCTTTACACTTGCACTTGTGTTGTGCTATTAGATATTGGCTTTGGGTAGAGGGCTCCAGCACTGTAAGAAGACTTGGAGAAAGTGAGACAACATAGATCTGCAGTAAGTGCAGCTCTTGCAATGTGCAGGAGGGAGCTGCCTGAACAAGATGTCTCATGAATATCCACATGAAAGAAAATCATTACAAGCAAAAATTTTAATTGTTATTTCCAAAAAGAAAAGGCCTTTTGACCAGGAAGCAGGCTTACAGCTTGGGTCAAACACAAAGAAAGTAATGGCTGCTTGCTTTCCCTCTTCTCTTCACAGGCAACAAAGTGAAAAGACAAATAAAAGGTTGATGATGGCTGATATTGCTAGTAAAAATTATTCCTCCCTGTGGTCAGTCAGGGAACATATGAAGTGGGGAAAAAAAGTATCAGTGATAGGAGGAAAGTCCTCCACTGAGACTATGCAAATATTCCTGATATGTGAACTGTAATATAAAGACTGAATAAAAATGAAGTAAAAAATGTGGCGTAAAAAATAAAGAACATCATAAGGAGTTGTCTTATTCAAAAATTCTGTTCCAAAAATGTAAGAAAAAGGAGGAGCATTATATTCATACGACTCCTATATAAAGCCTATTTTCGTAGATTATCAGCATCACTTCAGTATTTGTTTGGAACAATACTGCCACACACATGGGGCCATATCAGGCAAACGTGAGAAAGAGACCCAACAGGAGGACTGTGGTTACTGGAAAATGTACTTAAAAAAAAGCAGGAAGGAACCATCAGCCACAGCAGTGCTTCATCCAGCCCAAAGCATCTGCAGAAGCAGGCACACACTGTGCCACCCAGTGCACTTGGAATGCCCTTCCCATCCACCCTGCCAAGCCACCCCCACTCCCTTCTCCTAATGGCTCCCAAAATTTCCCTTCTGCTCTATTTCCCACAAGTTGTGCAATAAATAAATATAAGGGACAGAGAAAGGAGGGAGAGGAATTCAAGTAAATTCCCACTTCTTTTCTCTATAATCTTGCAAACTTTTATTTTAAATACTGCCTTTTTAAAATTTTTTTTTTTTACAGTGTGATCCACAAAAGAAAGTAAATACTTGGAGAGTGAGGTACAGAAGTAGACTGTAATGCTGCTCAGCTGACAAGAAGATTTTCACAGACAGGGCTACCCACCCATTCCTAATTTCTAAATACTTCACATAATTGTGGGGAAATGTCTCTTCTGTACAGCAACTCTGTTGAGCTCACATCAGCCTTTTGTAATCAATACATGCTCTACATTAAAATGACAAATCTTACTGAATACAGAAAAACAGTTTGCTAACAAGATCTATTGTCTTACCTATTTTTTTGGACAGCACAACCTTAAACAAGTCTAAAGATGTGCAGAAAGTGAACCCGTGGTAAGAAGAAGGTCATTTACAGAGCTGAGACAACCTTTGGGCCTCTTGCAGCAGTACTGCAGTATTTAACTCTCTCTCCAGATTTTATCTTTACTGCAGACCACAGACTCTGTGTCACTGCTTCATGGCACACCAACTGTATGCACTGTGTGGTATTATTTAAGATAAGATTCTGTCCAGCATGCAGTCTACCTGTAACATCATATGTATTTTAGATATTTTAAAAGAGCAGGTAATTGGAAAGCTGGAGGGAATTTTTTGTTTCTTAGCAAAGACTCTCAGGTTTAGTCCTTACCTATGATTCAAAGAGCATACGAACCACCCCTTCCTGCTTATCCGTGTATGCTTAAAAAGCAACGCATTAACATTCTTATGGGCATAAAATCCCATTTGAAATTCAGAGCGGCTTCCACAGTCCCTTCACAGCTCAACTAGCTGGAAAATCTTGGATGACAGTGCCCCTCTCTGGTCAGAAAAGATTAGTGCCGGTTCTGTCACAAAGCCAGGACGCTTTAAATGTGTTAAAACTATTCAAACTGCTGTGATTAAAAGCAACAAAATATTTAGAACGTTTATTAACTTTAACTGAGTTGAACATTGTTTGCCGATTTATAACCAGGGCACTCTATCTTCACGTGAAAGCTGCACCATGTTGAGATACTCTGCACTGTGCAAGCCCACAGTTCACATTGAATATACCAGCCAGTGCTGAAGCTACGCAGCGTGCGAGTCAGAACACCTCCAAGCCATGAATAAAGGTTGAGAGTCTAAACCAAAACCCAAAAAGCATACATTACCTTGGGAAAAGCACAACAGCTATATATGCAAGCACAGCAGGCAGCAAGATTTGACCTGTCTACAATGGTCCATGGTGAAATTAATAGCAAAAGGACAGAAATTACCTGCATCTCTGTCCACAGCTTCCACCTTGACGACAAACTCCCCTGGATCTTGGTTTTCATGAACTGCAGCCTCATAAACTTGCTTCAGAAATATTGGGGCCTCATCATTCACGTCCAGAACAATGATGGTTAGAACCTGCGTGGCGGAGAGGGCTGGGCTGCCATCATCAAGAGCCATGACTGTCAAACTGTAGCGCTCCTGGATCTCACGGTCCAGAAGCTGGGCTGTGGTTAAGAGCCCTTTTATAGAGAAAGAAGGTATTAAAAAAAGTATTCTGGTCCCGGTTAGGATCCTATTTGTTCCAGCACTCACAGCTTCAGTGTAGTGTCACCATGAATGCTGTGCCACTGCTGCAAGGCTTCTGGACTTTGGAGTCAATTATTACCTCTGATTCCCTTCAGAGTGCTGCTTGGCCCAGAAATACTCATTTTGACATCAAGGGCACTGGGATTCATGGTATATTCAAGTGAAGTTCAGATATTTCTTTTTATTTATCCTTAGGCTTAACTTTTTAACTTTATTTAAGTTAAATATTTGTCTTCTTTCACACATTATGCAGTCAGTGTTAGCTGTATCACATAATGTATTTAAAATCAGCATAAGAACCAGAAAATATTGTAACTCTTAGGGTGACACTTGCATTTGTGTGCAGACAGTGTAATAGCTGCAGAACTCATTCAGGAACCAGAGAATTTCAGAAGGCTGAAGAATGAAATTCATCAGCACTTTGAGCCTCCAATGGACACATTCCACCCACAGTGTAATGGGCAATCCTTGATGTTGACCTTTGCCTTTCCTCACGTGTATCTATAGCAACATCTGTGTGTGCACACACTTTAAACACGCATCACATAAAAATCAGAATGAACTATTTCACTGCACACTCTCTCTTCCCACATTCCTTAATATACTATTGGAAGACACTCCAGTACATCTACACTACAGAGACAATAGTCTCATGCAGAAATTTCTGAGCTGAATCTCACTGAGTGTGCCTCCTGCCATGCTCGTGTGGTGCTCTGCCCCAGGTAATCCCTCCTGAGGATGACAAGTCACCTGGGTAGAGTACCACAGTAATGTGATATTTCAGTAGTGCACTCCCAAAAGTTACTGAGAGAAGCACAGTGGAAGAAACTGCAGAGAACAGGAGTTACAGTACCTGTGATCTGATCCAATATAAATGCTTTGTTTTCATTGCCTGAAAGGATGTGATATGTGACTTGTCCATTTCTTCCCTCATCAGGATCCTTTGCAATTACACGGTGCACAAGGAAGCCCACTTCTGCGTCCTCCACGACAGAGGCAAGAGGCAAAGATGTGAAACTCGGGCTGTTGTCATTGACATCTAAAATAACAATTTTCACAGCCATGGAATCAAGCCTGCGATCAGTCAGATTTATTGCCTGGTCTGCTGCAGACACTGTGAGGATCACAGAGCGAGTCACCTCCCTGTCTAGTGGAAAAACTGTGGTCAAGGTGCCATCTGAAGGGTGAATAAGAAATGGATTCTCACCCTCATTACTCATTTCTAGGGAATACTGTATTTTGCTGTTCAGAAAACTGCCATCACCATCTTTTGCATCAAATGTGTAAACCAGAGTGCCAACAGGTACATTTTCTTCTACACCAATCACTACAAAGTCATCTTGAAAATACGGAGCGTGATCATTCAGATCTTCTACATCAATACTTAGGAAGACAGTGTTATTCTGGGGAGGATTATCACTATAATCCTTTATAATAACTTGCAAGAGGAAGTGAGAAGCTGTTTCATAGTCAAGTTCCTTGGAAAGAAAAAGGTCTCCTGTCATGCTATCTATTTCAAAATGAACATAATTATCTTTAGCAATACTGAAATGCAGTTTTCTCTTAGTTTTTAGGTTATTATCAGGTGACCTCAAAGAATTTAACACTTGTGCAGGTTTAAAATTTTCAGGTATGACAATGTGCTTGAAATCTTGAGAGAAGACAGATCTTCCACTGGGAATTGGGATTACCTGCAACAAAAGCACAAAGACTGCAATATATTCCCATTGTTATTATCAATAGTGTAATAAGAAATTTTTTTTTTAATTGATAGTTTAGTCATTTATTGTTTGTGACTATATTTATCCTAAGTATGCCTCAAAGCCAGAAAACAAACTCAGCATGCTCTGAAAGAGTTCAAGTAGTCCTTGGCTTGTTATTCCATAACTCTTTCATTCCCATGTTAAAAAAAGGGACAAGACTGTCTCTCAGCCTCTGAATCACATGGGTCCAAAGACAGGCAACTTGAATATTGCTGTATCTGTCCCTGCTCTGAAGCTCTTCAACCGTCATTCTACACAGGACAGCATCACAGGTCTGACAAAGAACATGTACATTATGCTGTTTGCCAAACAAATGAATAGATGGGGTTTTTTTTTGAGAGTTGTTTATGTCATTACAGGGTTTCATTCATTATAGATTGCTGCAGTGTTGCCAGTTAATGCTTTAAAATTAAAGAATCTAACTGTGGCCACTGCATTTGCCTTGTCTTGACTGAAGCATTTTTTTTCCAAGCTATCCAAAAGTAACCTTCTTTTGGGTGGCATGGAAACAGCAACCTCAGTGACATTCAACCTCTGATAAAAGAAGCACACAAGTGGCCTGGCCGAAACAGCCCCACTGCGGTTCGATGAACAGCAGGTTGCTGGCTGTGGTAAGAGTACACGCTGGATTTCACACTCCCATGCAGAGCAGCCCTGTATAAACTAGCACAAGGGAATGAGCTATCCTTACACTGGGTTACAGAGACAGAATTTAGAAACAAGAGTAACAAAGTGAAGAAAAAAAAAAAAAAAAATCTAAAATCTACTCTCTCCCCCACTTTCAGTCCCTCCTGATATTTGCTTTCCACTCTGCCTATCCAGATATTTATCTTCTCTTATCCAGTGTTCTAATAACCTCCTACTACAGTACAAGGATCATCTATCTGCAAGACAACCCAGAATGCTGTTGTGTATTCTTAGCAAATCAAAATGAGTCTTTCCTCACATTTCCTCCCTCAACAAAAAGTGGTGGAAGAAAATTACTATGAGACAAGGTGCTTATAATTTTGAATTTCCTTTTTTCAGCTTATTTCCCTAGCTTCTCCCAAAACTGTTTTATCAAGTAAACTTAAGTAACATAACTGTTCTACCTGTACCACATAAACAAGTACCTGGATGTAAACAGTAGCATGTCCTTGCAGTGCAGGCATCCCCTGGTCCCTGGCTGTGACCATCATTCTGTAGTTTGATCTCTCAGCATGTGACAAAGACCGGGTTGTTCTTAACTCCCCACTGGCAGCATCAATCTGGAAGCATCCTATATCCTCTTCTATGGAGGAAAAATGGACATGAGTTATTGCAGATCTCTTCAACTTGCCTCCATAATGCTGAACTTTGTCATTTACAGTAAGAACGGGCAGGACCCAGAGGAAAGAGAACCTGCTGTACTCATTGCATCTCTCTGGCTCATTTGGTTCCCCTCTTCTTCCATCATCAAATACGTTCATTCATTATAAATGACTTTGAATTCAGAAAGCTAGAGAGACACTATGGAGTACCATTATTCACACCAATGGTGTGTGCATCAAGAGAGCAGCAGACACCCCAGAATTGGTACCCCTACTTCCAACACAAGCTTGCAGGCAGGGCCAGAGAAAGAATTACATCTTAGTCTCTGAACTGGCATGAAGGGTCGAGTGATGTTGGATATACAGCTGGCTCATATGCCTCACAAACTATGGGTCAAAGAGCCCTATCTACCCCACTAAGTCACCTTAACTACCTACAGTGATGCCACCTGTCCTCCCTGTGCTCTGAAGCAGGAGCTAACTGGGGGTAGCTAAAGTCTTACAGTAAATTGTTGCAGAGCAACACATGAATATTGGAAATTACACTTACATCCTTCATCAGGGTCCGTCTGCATGCTAATAACAAGCAACTTCTAATTAAAATTAGTACTTGCAGCTACATCATATAAGATTTATTCTAGACTTGCAAAGAAAAATCCTGCCATAGAGGAATATATAGCTCTTTATAACTTAGGATCATAGGATCATTTAGACTGGAAAAGACCCCTAAGATCACAGGGTCTGACTGTAGACCTAACACTACCAGTGGTTTAGTCCACCACTAAACCATGTACCTCAGCACCACATCTACACATCTTTTAAATATCTCCAGGGATGGTGATTCAACCACTTCCCTGGGCAGCCTGTTCCAATGCCTGACAACCCTTCCTGTGAAGAATTTTTTCCTAATATCCAACCTAAACCTCCCCTGGAGCAACTTAAAGATGTTTCCTCTCATCTATCACTTGTTACCTGGAAAAAGAGACTGATGCCCACCTTCCCCATTTTCAAGGAACACAATAAAAATTATTCTCCAGTTTTTAGTAAAATGAGAAAGCATCTATTACCTAGTATACCTCACCAGAAACTAAGAAAATCAAATTTGTCAAACTACTTATCTCTTAAAATACTATGCAAACTACTTTTTGCTAAGTCAATTTTTAATGAGGTGTGCTAGTGGGTTAAACAACACCATGCAGTGTAACAGCTGCTATTCTAATAAGTAATTGTGGTAAAAAATAAATTCAGTGCAGATGTTGAACACAAAACACCCATAATAAAATATATTTCCATAGACACCTAGAGTGAGCATGAAGCTGTTAAAAAATGCAAATTAGTCAGCTGCACATACAGATGTTCATTTTTGTTATCCAATCACCTCACCTGCAACTGTAAAATATTTGCACCTGTAGGATTTGAAAAAACACTGAGCAGCCCACTTGGAAAACAGGGATTTTGCAATCAACAAATAGGAGTTTTTTCCAATATTGTCCTACAACTTTTGACTGACTTTCTAAGTTTCTAATGCTCCACGAATCCCTTCTGGGTTGACTCTTGCAGTCTGGAACATCATGAGGAAATTACCAATAAAAGGAAACAATATGCAGAGACAATTATATTGGATGAGACAGTCCTGTATTCTGCATTTCTCATGATAGTTTCAAAATATTAGTACTGCTTTATTACTATTTTCATAAATTGCTTTTGGTTACTTTCCTGGTTTAGGTCCCAACAGCATGTCGACATTCACAGATATGCTATTTTGTTCCATATAATGCCTCATGACAAAATCCCAGCTAAACAAAAGGCAGAGGAGATATGAAAAACAGAACACAATGTGAATTGCATGCATATATTTAACATTTACATTTAAAAGAACTAAAAGGAAGAACAAGAAAAAGGAAACAGTAAACAGAAGTGTAAAAAAAACTATTCCCTTCATTTTTCTACCAAAATGGTTACAGTTACCAGACTGAATCAAAAAGAAAAAATATTTTAAAAATAGTTAAAAAAATAACAAAACCATTGCAAATACATAATTGCAACCTGAGCATGAAGCTATGAGGACTCACTCTTGCTTCAGTAGTGATGTGGATAGTTAGTACCTCTTAGCACAAAGACCAATACTTGTTTTTCTGTTTCAAGTAGCAGAACACAGCTAGATAAACTTGACTGAAACAGGTGCCAATCCAGAATGCTTTCATTTCAAAAGTCCCATTTTCAAATTTTTTTTTTTCTAGTACTGCACTATAAAGACAGTCAAAACTGAAACATCTTATTTATATTTCCCTATTTTTATCAGATTATTTTTTAATTTATTAATGGACAATTTCAAAGTGTAGCCATTTGATTCCAAATCAAAGTATTCCAAGGAGAAAAAAAAAAAAAGCCTATGAAACTGATTTCCCTTAATCTACAGACAGACTAATAATTTTATACTGTATTTTGTAGCTAAAGCAGTTTCTGAATAATCCTATCTAGAGACAGATCTTGTTGTTCAATTGATTTAATAGATGGCAGGTACTCAGAGAAGAGGTAGACCACTCTTGAATACTTTTGCCCAAGATGACTGAGGGTAAGTGTATGTGAGCAGTAGCTTGCTCACTTTCTAAATACATTCCAAATACCCCTCCTTGTTCTTCTGTAAGTTCAAAGTGAGGAATAAAAGGTGGGTTTGAGTTTCACACTCAAAGGGCCTGTCAGTCATTGCTCTAAAGGCTCATGCTCCCTGCACTTCCAGGAACAATCGCTCAGCTTTCATCTCCAGAAGACACATGAATTAAGCAACTGTTGCTTATATCATACACAATAAAAAAATATCTTTTTGTACAAAAATAAAACAAAGATGGTATATGAGAAATGCATAAGAAAGAAGGAAACTGAGATGAGCAGATGAAGCATGGAACAGAGAAAAATTAAATCTCTCATTAAGTAGACTAATGGCCCCAGTTTTCTTGCAACTCTACCCTAACCTGTCAATACATGGATATGCCTTTTCAGTTTCAAATTTCTTCACCTCAGCATTGTCCACTCTGTTGGCCAGGTTTCATTTACACTTATCCAAATCCCAGGCACTTTCTCAACTCTGTGTCTCAAATATAATCAAAGAAACTGCAGTTCTGGACAAAAAAAAGATGGCCTTAGAAACTTCAGGCAATGTGTGGCTGTGAACTTTGGCAGAACATTCAAGCCTTCTATAGATAGGCACTCACACAAAATGGCCCAGAAAGCAGACAGATAGTAACACCAGATTTTTCTCAGATATTCATGACCTCAGAAGTCGTGACAGTTAGCTACTTATTTTTACCTAATTTCCTAAAGAATGGTATCTTTCGTAGGCTTTAAAATACTTACTCCCTTGGCCATCTTACTCTCCTTTGAGATGAAAGAAAATTTGTTTCTCTTAACAGAGAACAGGAAGGGAATGTCATGGCTCCCTGCACACTGCTTGCAAATCACCCTGGAGAAAAAGTACTCGGCCCACAGACATAGGTGCAACACTTGCCAATTTGTTTGTGTTGGCAGTGTAAAGCAGGCTTCCCCCAGCACTCTGCTGGTCAAGTGCTAACGTAGCCAATGTGCAGAACTGGTCCAAATATGACTGTAAAAGCCTTCACTTTGCCAGTGATAGTCTGAACACGCAAAGCAATAGTTTATGGTGCATTATAAACACAGACCATGTTTTTGTTACAAATGATATACTATAATCCATTGACAGTTGTAAAGAAGGCCAGGCAAATCACTTTGTAATTGCCAGCACCACTAAGGAATAGTACACACAGCTGGGATTCACCTTTCTCTGAACTAGGTTGACTCTTTCAGTGATAACACAAAAGTGGAGGTGTGGCCATATGACTACGAATTTCCATACACACAAATGGTTAAGGATGATTTGTTTGGATTTTCTGGGAAGAGGGAAGGGCATTTTCAAGGAAACATTGCTCCTCTGAAGGCTAAAAATCCATCTGTTGTGTAAAGCTTACGGGTTTTTTCACATATTTTTCCTTATGTAATTTGTTAGCATTTGTCCTTAGCCCTCTCCTGCATAGCTTAATCTACTGCTGCTATCTTGGCATTTCTTTAAGGTCTCAAGAACATTAAAAATTACTTACTGACTCTCACAAGCTTAACAGCTGACACAAACTCATAGGTCTTAATCTTGTGACAGTCCCTCAGCTGTTGAAAAGAGCAAGCAGCCCTCCAATTAACCTGATGTCTTTGTGTTTAACAAATATGGCTGTAAATCAGATCACATTTCTTCATATCTTAGTACTGAACAGCGTTCCAGAAGTAGAAAATACTATTTTAAACAAACCAAGCAAGAACTTCACCATGATGCAGAAGACCAGATGTTAAAGGCTGTAAGCCAACTAACAACAACAAAAATTAGTATCAGAGAAGCTCAGCTGTTTCTGGATTTGTTTATCAGGAAAATCTCTAGTTCCAAGACTGGGAGGGCTCTTTCAGTATTTTTTTTTGCTGCTGCTTTTATCCTTTTGTTCTTTCTAGAGACAGCATTTGCAAGACCAGTCATATCTTGTGTTGCTAGTAATTTTTATCATCTGAGCTCTTATTTATTCCCCTTTGTGGCTCTACAGTGATGCCAGTTAGCAAATCCAATGTGCTGTTTGATAGAAGGGGATATAATGAGATATACAGACAGAGACCCCTGAGGAACACTTCCTGTGTTGCCTTGCCATCACCCTTCAAACAAAAGGTTGGGTACAACTCATTCCATTTTTATTAAGGGGGATCATTTAATGAAAAATATTATTCACAAGGCAGAAGTCTACACTTCTTTCCAGTTCAGTCTGGAAGAGGCAGTCACTTGCATCCAAACTAAGGGAATAACTGTATGGCCATAAACTGACACAACAGACTTTTTTCATCTGCGTATAGTTCAACTGCAAAATTTTCAATAGAGTTATTAAATGTCTCAATTTTATCGGCATCTTTTGGTGGAAGTGAGCAGAGTTAGTTCTCTGGCTCCTGTGGATTTGGATCTTAGTCCTTCCATTACTCCGCAGAAGTCAAAAGGGTATGCAGAGACACAGTATAACATAATCCTTGAGAACCTTGGTAATTTCAGTCTGGGCAAGAAGAGGCTACAGACTCCCTTGCTCTTCAAGAGTGAGGAGTAATGTAGCTTTGCAGTACTTTGTTCTTTATTTTGCAGTGAGAAATGATTGTAATGAGTTTAAGCTAACCAAGCCCATATTTGATCTCTGTCTACACAGAATAGAGCACCTGAGGAAATGCACTGAGTGGATGGAAACACTGGAAATTATTTCTTTCTCTGATTAAACAGTATGCTCTATGTGCAAATTATCACAGACTACAAATATCAAGCTTAAAAGGTATTGATTACATTAAGCTGGTAAAATACAGCAGCTACCCAACTAAAAGAAGTGGTTATGATCTTGGCACCTCTTGCTGTTTATAACCAATAGTGAAACAAAGCAGAAGGAACAGGCATTTCCTCACTGGGTACAGACAAAGTACCCTTCTGTGTACAACTGTAGCAAGTGGTATGTGGCAAAACCAGAGATCACATCTATGTCTCTTACAAGTATTCATGCCCTGGTCTCCCTCATGTTCTAATTTAGGACTGCTCTGTTATTGATCTCACTGCAAACAAAATAGGATCCTACATCTTAACCCAGAAGTGAAATACTATACGTAGGAATTATGGGGAAAACTAAAGAGGAGAAGTGTTTTCAAATGGCCACACCATGTCAGGCTAACACAGCAGTAAACTAAGGCTGAAACAACTAAAAACCACAAGCCTCATTGTTTGCCCAGATTATCTGCTGATCCTTCTGATCCCTGTCTCAGATTGTCATGAACTGTTCTTTCAGCAGGAGAATTTTCAGTTGGTCATGGGAAAGGGCGATCACCTTTCTTTTAAGACATGAAACTGACTGAAATACTAAACCATACAGTACAAAATCATGGTCCTAATGTTTTCTGAGTTTTTTGAATGCACTCTGGACAGCCACACAAGCAACCAAACCCCTGAGAAGACAGGGTAGAGGGGGAAGGGAAGAAAGGTAGCTGCGTGCACCTCCTTAGATACCTCATAAGACATATGATGGTTCTGATTCCCATTTACCTGGCATCTTCATTCTAAGTCACAAAACAGACATAAAATTCTGCGTGTGTACATGGAACCTCTAAAACTCTAGCTATTCCAATGCATCTTTTATTAAGAAAAACACTTACCTGATTCTATTGAATACAATACAACACCATTGTTCCCAGAATCCAAGTCTTTTGCAAAGACTGTGGTAATAAGTGTCCCTGATGGCTGCCCTTCCAAAACCTGTCATCAAGCAATTTATAAAGAATTTGCAAATATGCATGGATAACAGCAAGTCTTCAAATAAATTCCTTGCCATAACACAAGAGGTTAGCTGTGCTCTATTTTAGTAATATTCACAGTCAGTGCAAAAAGCATTTCAGGAAATGGTTAAATAATACAGTTCTAGCAGTCCTCTGTCCCCATCTGCATAGACTGATAATTCAAAAATCTTTAGTGCAGCAGACGCAGAGGTCAGAAATTAAAAAAGATTATACTGCATACACGAATAAAATGATACACTTTTATCATAGAATGTTAGGTGTTGGAAGAGACCTCTGGAGATCATTGAGTCCAACCCCCCTGCCAGAGCAGGACCATCTAGTCTAGGGCAGGTCACACAGGAACGCATCCAGACGGGTCTTAAAAGCCTCCAAGGAAGGAGGCTCCACAACTCCCTAGATCCTTTACATCTGACAGTATACAAGGCGGAGAAATACAACCATTGGATAAATTCTGAAACTCCCCAATACACCCCAGTGTCATTTAAGAAGGGGTGACATTTCTGTTTCTGTGGGACAGGGGTTTGGGCTCCTGCCACAGGGTGGTGCTCGGCTCACAGCAGCGCACGTATTGCATGAAAAGGTGGAGTGATCTGGCAGAAACGAAACCCGCAGCACGCCGCCGGCAGCACCCACCTTCAGCTGCAGCTCCTGCCCGGGCCCGGCCTGGGGGAAGAGGGGGCGGTTGTCGTTGAGGTCCCTCACCGCGATGAAGACGGCTGCGGTGGCGTTGCGCCGTGGGGACCCGTGGTCCGTCACTAGCACCGTCAGCTGGTGGTGGGCTTGTTTCTCACGGTCTAGTGCCACCCAGTTTATGATTTCACCTGATGGACAAACAAAATGAAGGAGAAAGGGAGTTATTTACCAGCACTCATCTTACTACATGCAATTATGCCTTTAATTTAACGATTTAATGTGAAATAATGACACGTCTTCTGATACACCTTACTGCTGACATGAAAACCTCAGTTTCCCAAGTTCCATTCCCTTAGCACCACATTACATCCTTTACTGTACGGCAGGTGCCCCAGAGCAAAGGTATAAACCAGTATGAACCAAGACACTGACCCTTCAGAGACGTTCATTTGGCCTTCACCACACTTCAGGGCAGATAATATACGAGTACAGGGTTTTAACTGCTGACAAATGGCTTTTGTCATGCCCCTGGCTTAGGAGATTCCTAACACAACGCCTGTAAGGTAGTCAGGAAGCCTTATGTCTCTTTTATGCTTTGGTAAACTCAGTGAATAAATCTGACCCAATCTCCTCTCTATCAGTTCAATAATACTCAGTATAGCTGTAGATTTGTGGTTGACCAAGGTCCTTCATACAGAAAACCCCACATTATTTTAAGATCTTCTCGGTTAACTCCTAGTACTCTGTTTGCCTTTAAACTTCCATAAACATACTGCTAACACGGATCTGCTTTGAGGCAACAGTTTTATTTTGAGATTCATACAGGGAAATTCTGGGAAAGCCTATCTACTCCTCATGAGAACAGGACATCTGGGAACAGGGATTTTAAACAGCAGATCTTTGCTTGGTACATATTATTTTGCCTAACCGGATTATTTACAGTGCCTGTGTTGCTTACACAGTTCCCTTCCTCTACACTCTCCATGCCACGTTCTGTGATGTTTTACTCTGTGGACATAGCATCTATTACTCAAGGCTTTTGCAATTTCACCGTGGGTTACACACCTTGTGCAGTGAAAAATTTTTCTCAGCTAATTTGATTTCTGTGGTGCCATATACCACATACACAATTTTGATATAACTTACAGAAGTTTTCACAAACATTTTAAATCATTGTAACTGTTAAATGTCACCATTACCTTTACACCTATTTATGGCTGATCTGTACTTTTCAACTGTACTTAAGTTCCTCACATGAACTACTGAAGCTATAATTTAAAACTCCTTTGAATTTGTTACAGTCCAACACTTACATGAAACTTATGACCAAGTGACTAGAATGAAGTAATGAAAAAATCAAATCCTAAGGGTTAGTTCATTATTCATGACCATGTATTAGATTTATTTCATTCCTCAAATTGTGAAGCTCTGAGTTAGAATATTCATATATCAACCCAAAAGATTCACAGCAGTTCCTGAAAGCTTTACACTTTACTTCCATTCCCTCAGGGAAGGCTGCTTTCCAAAAGCAATATTAGCCAGATTACAAATCATAAAATGCTACCTGTGTTGGAATTCATCTTGAAATACTTTCCATCAGACAAGAGGAAATAGGAAAGTTGTCCATTTCTTCCCGAGTCCTTGTCAACAGCTGTAATGGTGCCAATCACACCCCTGGGAATTGGATTTTCCTCCGTTTCAAAGAAGTAGCTCTCACGCATAAACGTGGGAGAATTATCATTTTCATCCAGGACTTTAACTATTACTGAGGTACTTGCATTTTGTCTGAGGTTTTCATCCTCCGAGGTGCTGACCAGGGCTCTAAAACTTAGCACCTGTGCACATTCGTAGTTTAAATGTTTCCGAAGATAAATCCAGCCAGTATCAGATCTGATTCCAAATGCAACAGAATCTGTGCTAGGCTCTAAGGAATATGTCAGCTTGGAGGTAACGCTGTGGGGATCAAGCGAGTGTGCTTGAACCTGAAGGATCTGGGCACGTGGAGAGGTAGCTTCACTGATCTCTACTTGATACACCAAGTTTTGAAAAACCAAAGCAGGGCTCATCATCTGCTCTTCAACAATCACTGTCAACATCAGCAAAGAAGTCAGAGGAGGACTTCCACAGTCTTCAGCTGCTATTTGTAGAGTATATTCCTGCTGCTTGTCTGCAAACACTGTCCTGGTGAGGTTTACCACTCCAAGGCTTGGATCAATGTTAAATGCATTTGACTGCTTGCTTGCAATACTGTATTTGATTACCCCATTTAGGCCACTGTCTTTGTCTTCTGCATGAGCAATATAAACAGTGGTGCCAGGAGGCTGGGTATGTGAAATAGTTACCTTATCAGATCTGGTAAGAAATACTGGAGGATTGTCATTAACATCCATCACAGATATGTTGACCTGGGTGCTACTGTAGACAGGGGAATTACCCAGCTGTGACTGAACAGTGAGTACCACAACAGACTGAGTTTCATGGTCAAGCTGTTTTTTGGTGCGGATGACACCAAACTGGGAGTCAATAGAGAATCTTCCATGTGGATCACCAGAGGAAATTCTGTAAGAAACCACTTCTAAGGAATCTAGAAATGGAAATTTAAAAAAAAAAAATAAAAAAAAAATGAACACAGTAACAAGAAAGTTGGTAAGAAAATCCGTGAAGAATGCATGTTGTTAAATTCAGCAGAATAAATGTAAGCTACATAGATGTTTTATTTCATTTGGCTTCTTATGCTTCCCTCTTTCTGTCCCTTGAGCCCTTCAGTAAAAAAAACCAGTGCATAGGCTTTAGCTGACTGTGTACAGTCTGTCCACTTGTGCACCGTTTGATTTTCATCTCACTGGTAAGATCAAACTCTATAGAGAAAACATAATATAGCTGTTTGTGTTTCCCTGATCTAAAATACAGAAAAAGCACTCCTATTAATTAGTCTTATGGGTGTAATTTCACTATAGACGCTCATTCACTATAGCAAGGACTGAAACAGGTTGCAGTTCTCTCAAACAACTGCATGTTACTGTTTCTGCACGATTGTTGCTTATTAGATGCTACCTAAAGCAAAAGTTATCTAAAGGTTCAGGTTTATTACCAAGGCCACTCCACAGGGGCTACCCCACCCTGAGGACAGGTGGTCAATGCGCTGGACTTCCAAGAAAAAGAAAACGGGAGGATCTGACTAATCAAATGTAAATAAAACCTCTGCCACTTCATGTGTACAGATCCATCACCAAGCTGGTAAGTGGACTCATGGCTCCCAGTACTCTGCCTAGGAACCAGATATACATGGCTCTCAGGAGCCAGTCCTTCCTCACTAAGACCTGGCGGGAGCTAACCCATTTTCCTTTGAAAATGATAAAGAAACCAAATGGATTAAATACATTTTGAGAAGGTCCCATAAATATTCAAGTGGAATTCAACACTAAATTGGGTGAAATGTGGGTTGTTGGTTTTGTGGTTTATTTTTTTTTTGGGGGGGTGTCATTTTGTTTGGTTGGAGTTTTTTCATCAGCACTTCATACAGATTCTCTGAAACTTCTGAATAGACTCTCATCATGAGTATTGCTCCGAAATCTTTTTTGCATGGCAAATGCTTTAATAAAAGCCACACCGTCACACAAATTCATCTTTACACTTTCACAACATGCTTCCCCCATCTCTCATTTACAATTACAGAAGTCCATCTGGAATAATGTTGCTAATCTTCGTGGACCACCAAGGAGAGTATCATGAATCTCCACCTGTTCTAAAGAGCATCCTGAGACAGCAGTGATTACATCAGTTGTTGTAAACATCAGCAGTAAATAATACGTAATAAAAAAATAAATAAGAATTATCTGCAGATATTCCCAGTTAATGGTCCCAACAAAAATGCAATATAATCTCTGACTGAGTAAGCAGCTTACTTGGAGGTGCCCTGGCCTTTACAGTGCCGACAGGGCTGTCTTCAGGTGCATCTTCAGGAACAGAAAAAGTGTACCGGGATCTCTCAAAAATGGCAGGGGCCAGAGCTGGCTGAAGGATGTTCACTGTGACGGTTGCATTGGTGGCAGAGGGAAGGCCACCCCCATCCTGGGCAGAAACAGTCAGGAAGAGCGCAGAAAGCCCCACGTGGCCAAGAGCTGAGATCAGGTAAATAATTCCTGAAAGTACGCAGAAAAGTTCCCAAGTAAAACATCCACACAAAAAGAATTGAAGCCCCAAAGTATAAATCTGAGGAGGAATGGACACTGTGGAAACTATCTGGGAAGCAACCACCTGCTGTCTAATCACAAGTTCCTGGTAAAATACACTTTAATAGTAACTTCTAAGGTCTGTTCAATTCGCAAGCTGCTAACAATTATGCTTTCTGTAAACTATATAAACACTTATTTGAAATAAGTAATTCTTTGAAAAGCAAATGCAATGCTCTATCCAGAAACATAGCACTTTGGATGTGTCTTCCCCAAGATAAACACATTTTCATCCTTTAACTCTGATGAATGAGACTAGCTGTCTCCAAACACATTCTATTCTGACTGCTAAAATAAGTCTTTGGTAATATCAGATAATTATGCCAAATTTTAAAATACTCTGTAGTACTACAAAAAACCCACATCTACCAATTATTACCTAAGATGGTAGTAAGGATAGAAAGAATGAACATGGCAGGAATCCTGTCCCATCTTTTCCTGCAGTAAAAACTTTTATGAACTTCAAAGAAAGCTTTGAGTGAAGACTTCAGTCTCATCAATGAGAATTACTTCCAAACCATAGCTCTCTATGGCGTGCTCCTAATGGTCCACAATGATTACCCAAAAGGGATGTTTTTTAGTTGTTCCATGAGAGCCAGTTAGTCATTCACGGTCCTTTGCAAGCAGGTAAAGGATTTATAAATTAAGAATTTATAAATTAAGATATAAACCCACTTTATATCTAAGTATATCTATAAATTAAGATATAAATGATTATAAATAAATCATTTGCCATGAAAGCACTCTGAAATGTTTCATCTAGATGAAGTGAACATGAGTAGTTTAAAATTATGGGGAGCACACTAAATCATAGAGCAATACAGCTGATCACAGTAGGCTTGTTACTTCAGAAATTATACAACTTAATTGTAACCTGAGGCACAGAGTTGAAGATCAGGTGCTTTCAGCCAGGTAAAAGATGAAATAAGGAAACATAATTATGTCCTCAAGAGCATTAACACTGTGTCTTATCCTTTACAAGATCTTTACTGCTGAGCAGGAGAAAGAACACTTTCACTTATTCTGAGATGACAAAAATCCCACAGTATTCTAAGACTCTTTGACAGTCACAGATTTTGCAGCACAGCTATTTGTAAAGTAAGGTTTTCACTATGAAAACGTGCATGTGTCAAGAGGTGACAAAATGCAAGACAATTCTTCTTAGCAATGTCTGAGTTTAAATATACACTAACTGCTAAAATCGTAGTGAGCTAAGTAGTCAGGTTGTAGCAAACTCAAGCAATTCAGCTAATAGGAACAACTCTCCACATACCAACAAATATTTTAAAGACAGCACCAATGCTTTTTGTAGAAGATGCTAAACAAGCAAAATCTCTAGTAGCTCCATAAAACCAAACCTTTCAACTTTCAACCTTTCAACTGAGCTACCTTTGTAATTTCCTGGCTCTCAAGACAGGTTTAGTAAGGATGATGTTTGGCATTCAAATCAGACATATAGAGGTCCTGTTTGTCAGACAGAGTAAAAATTACATTTAACTCAAAGTGCCTTAAGAGAATCAATGCATGATTCAATTAGAATACATATTACCAAAATTTAGTGTGAAGCCACAACACTAATTGGCTGCAATGCATTTCTAAATAGAATAATGGAAAATACATAAAATCCTTATAAATATTCAAATGTGCATGTGGTATACTTTCTAATTATACTGCCAGGACATTATAATAACAAACTGTGTCTTGGCACGCTTAAAATGCATTCAAAGGGTCTTCAAGATCAGGGAAGAATGCCTTCCACAAATAACAAAGGACACTTACTCCAGTGTGACAAACCACAGTAAAAATTCAGATATAGATGGATTCAAAATTCACTGCTTATGCAGTTTCTATGTCAATAACTGATGTAATTTCAAGAATCAACCTTATTTTGGCCTTTTTTTTCCTTTTTTTTTGTCTTCTGATGATTGTTCTACAGTTAGTTAAGACAGCTCAACCAAGTAGTCATCCAAGAACAAACTTTTGGCATTTCCTGAGGTAATCTGAGCAACTGTAGCTCAAAGGAAAAAGGGGTTTAAGCTTTTTCCCCACCCCTCCCCCAGAGGTTAAACATATAAACATGGTTTTTAAACACTGATGCTGTCAAATTAAAGGAAACCAATCAAATTGACTGTATTTTACTAACTTGACCAATTAGGTACTTTTCTACTGACAAAGCCAGAAATAGCTCATACCCATTATGGATACTTCAAGATGTATGTGAAGAGCAGGAAAACTTATCTGGAAAAGCATCAGATTGAAAATTTTACTCTCAAATTAATGACATCAGAACATCCCTTAGCAAAGGGTGGAGCAAACAGTGCTCCCCTCTAGGAACTCTGAAGACACAGTGGAACAGAAATATTTCAGAATCAAAATTCCCTCTCTGCTAGACCTAGACAGATTACAGCACAGTCCACTCCACTTCAGCTACAGAAAGCATTCCAAAAAGAAAATGGATGAGGTTTTGTTTTCCCTCTCATTCTTTTGCTGTGTCCTAGGGAAGGAACAGGCAAGTACATCTCGCCAACTCAGTCCTCTCTTGCAGGACCAGGGACACCCCAAGCAAGCAGCATATTCCAAATAAAAAGTATGTGTCTTCCATATGGTTCTTTTTTAGCCTCAAAACTGTAGTATGCAGGAAATTTTATAACCCAGTTTGACTTCTAATTATATACATTGTGCTGAGACAGCTCTACCCTGGGTCGGGGAATAAGCCTCATTAGGCTCTATGGCACTGTATGACAGGAAAGAAGCTGTAGAAGCAAGCAGCATTTGGGACACTATTTTCTATAGGGTTAGGTAAAAACACTAGGCTGTAACTAAAACAACCACTTGATTCAAAAGTAGCTGCATTCATAGCTCAGAGCACGCTGGCTGGGTGTATTTGATCCTCTGTAGTATGGTGCACGAGATGCCCTAGTACTACATCACAAAGGCAGGAACCAGCTGCATAAGTCACACATTCGGTGTGCAAAACTCAAGCAAGGCACACCTTGCTAAATAACAAGCTGAAGACAAGTCACAGTTTTCCTTTCTTTCCTATTCTGTAATTAAGAAAAGACAGTGGCTTATTACTGTTATTACCATAGTCACTTGCAGCCTGCAGTTTGTGGCTTCAGAGAACTTAAAAGACAATTAAGTTTCTGTGGTACAGAATATATTCTCCTATTATGAAAAACAGTTTCTAGAAATGCTAACAATGGAAAAGGAATGAAGAGATGGCTCCTCTGTAAGGACCATTTTGCTGAGACCAAAGCTCCCAGCAGGAGACCACACAGACACAAGCGTGGTTCTACTTTAAGAAATCACTGTGTGAAAAATCCCACCTTCTTTCTTGCAGCTTTGCTCCCCATATATATGGACAGTCATATCTGCTGCATTTAATAATATTTAATTCTTATTTCTTAAAACTTGTTTGTATTACTGCAGTGCCTTGAAGATTTTTACCTCTGGTTATTCCTCACTCTGCAGGAGAGCAAGCTGGAATCAATTCTGCTTCACAGGTTCACAATCATATAATTACATAGCAGATGAAGCATTAACATCCAGCCCCACACCTCGGTAATCACAATTTCTTGACTAGACTTGCATGGCTGTGACTGACTGCAGATTTCAATCTTTATAAATCAAAATCATGACCAAAAGACCACCTATCATGATTTCCATACACATTTGAGACAGGATCTGTGATGTCGGTTGCATGACAGAAACTGCCAACACAGGCTACAGTTTGGGAACAGCTCTGCAGCAACACAGGCTAGCTCAGCACAGATACATTGGGAGTGACAGATCTTTTGCTGCAGAGCAATCCATGCTTACTGGCTAGCATTAATTGTTACAATGACTTTGAAGATTCAGTGTACAGTGAGAGCTAATACTAATGAAGAGCAAAATCATGACTGTCAATTCCATCCTGCTTCATCTTTCCTCACTCACTGTGAAGGAACTCACCCAAGAGGTTCTTGTTTGCCACTTCGTGGCTACCAATGACAAAAGGTAAACTGATGCCAGTGTTCACCCAGAATGTGTGAATGCATTAGG